ACTTCAATTTAGAGAGGGCACGCATTTTCAAAGCCAAAATTCACCGTTCATTGCGAGATTTCACATATTGCATAAAAGGTGCTGACCACCGAATGCCTGCAGCAAAAATCAAATGATTTGATTTTGAACTTAAGTTTATTTTTTTTATAGGTCAATGTCAAAGTTCTGGTCTTTCAAAGGGGAATATGGCATTGAGATACCCTTACTGCATCAAAAATTGACCATCATCAAATGTGTTTCGCATTATTAAAGAGAGAATGTCGTCACCTGCGCATGCGACAAACGGCCATAACGTGTTGTTTACAAACAACAGCTTGGAACTCAATTCTTGCACATGTGCAGGTGAACCCCTTCACTTCAGGTATAGAATTATCTCCCCAAATATTATGCAGGTTAAGGGTAACACTAAGATGATTAGTATGCTCCTTATAAGCCAATATGATGCGTCACTGATATACACAGAATTTTTGTGAAGACCATTTTCCTCAGCAATCAACAAGCTGACTCAGCATGATTTTTGGGATTTCATTTTGACTCAAGATCACTATGAAAATGGAGGGCACATTTGCCTGGCAACCCTTGTGGTGAAAACAAAAGCCAAAAACTCGCAGAAAACAGTACTTTGGGATGATTGTTGGAACTCCTCTGAACAGTGTAACAAGATTAGCCCTACGTGTATAATATATATAAATTTGGTTGTTTTCTCGAATTTTCACCGACTCGACCGGCGTTCCACAGCAGCATGTACAGAGCCCATAGAAATACATGTACAGTGGTGAGGCATAGCAACGTGGAACTTCTTGTGACGTAGCTCCGTCCCGAGGATAGAAAGATGGAATAAAAAAGTTCACATTTAGAAAATACTATATTATTCATTATGCTATGCTGAATACAGTTGACTTACCTAAAGATTTGTCTTCTTTTGCTGTAATTTCTATTCCATTGGTACTGGTAGTATCAGTAGCTGCAGTATTAAAATCCCCAAAGTCACTGTCATCATCGCTCTCAAACCTTTTCAGATCTAAACTGGGCAAGGAGTCTAACTTTGGAAGAGATTTCCTCATTGTCACATTGTCTATGCTTATGCTGTCTGATTCCTTAGAATTTAGTGAGACACTATCAAGGGTTCTGCTGCTGCCACTGGTAGTGCTAAAATCTCCATAGTTGTTATCCTTATTTATGTTACCATGGTAACCAGGTGGTTCAGGCCCTAAGTTCCCGAATAAGTCATCTTCATCACCACTCGGGGGGAGAACTTTCAATTTTTGTTCATTGACTGCCTTCCAATTTTCTTCCGTAGATGAACCTTCATGTTTTTCAGTAACTAGAGTGCAGTTTGAGTTTTGTTTCCGTATCGATTTCCTTGTTTTTGTTTGTAGTATCCTGGGGGGTTAAGTCCCTGAAAACACTGTATTTGTCATCACTTAGAGTACTTGCTTTAAATGCATCAAATTTATCATCAGTGGCAAGATCTGGTAATGTTTTCTTTCCAATCGTCTCGTGATTGTTCAAGGTAATAACGTCATTGGCATTTGAAAATTCACTTGATTTATCGACTTTTGCTGTAAATTCCTGTCCCCCGAACATATCAAACTTGTTTGCAGGTTTATTAGTTGGTTTATCAGTAGCAACTGGTGTAAAAAGGTCATCATGTACAACAGGAGGAGTATTATAATTATTAAATTCATCATCCTCATCATCAAAATCTGGCAATCCTGGTGGCCTCCGACCGAAAAAGTCATCATCGTCATCATTCATGGAAATAGCACGTACTCTTGATGGTTCTCTGTTGAAGAGATTGTGAGTCTCTTCTTTGTCTTCTTTAAAATTAGTTTGTATTTTTGAAGTGATAACAGCATCGTCTTTGTTATACAGATCTTTGATCGCAGAAAACATGTCAGAAGGTGGCAGTGTTATGGTTTCGCTTTCCACAACATCGGACTGGAAAAATCCACCGGCCATTCCTCCTCTAAATCCTAGTGGTTCTTCAGGTGGCAGCGCTTCTTGCTTGAAATCACCAAACTCATCAATGTTATCTATTTTAGCAGCATCTTTAAATTGACCGAATTCATCCTCAACAATGTCTGATTCCGTAGGACCTTTGAAATCTGAAAATTCATCTATTGCACTGGTTGGCTCTTTTGGTCCTTGAAAATCAGAAAATTCATTACTCTCTTCAAAACCTGAACTGGGTTGAACTTTTTTGAAATCAGCGAATTCGTCTTGGTCACAAGAGCCAGTTTGAAAATCTGTAAACTCGTCATCGGGTTCGTTTGTTTGCGGTGCGATTAAATCTCGCAAAGCGGCATACTTGTCATCAGCAGATTCATTAAACTTAAACAAATCACTGTTTTGCCTGGTTGGCAGAGGCGCCTGCTGAAAATCTGCAAACTCATCCTGCACCGGAGGTTTAATAGGAAATGTTAGTGGCTGACCTGGTGGTGCTATTACAGATGGTGCATTTGAAAATGTTCCCCTAGTATGAGCAGCTTGTTTAAATTCAGCAAAATCATCACTCTCACACTCTCGCACTGTTCCAAACTTAGAGGGATTTAAATTGACTGACTGAACTGGTTGATTTAATTTCAAATTTTTAGGAGGTGAAATTTTAGCTGATGTAAAAGAATCCTTAGTCAGCTTCATTGTTGACTTTGTAGTTGACCTCGTCGTTGACCTCTTGTAGCTTCTTTGATATTTCAGAGATGCTGGAGATGAGGATGCACTTGTCGGGAAATCAGGATCGACTGGAGACTGCGGGTAACCGACTAATTCAGGATCGGTATTGTGACTGCTAGAAGTTCGAGATGATGCTCTTGAACTAGACATACTACTGCTGGTATCGCTATCAGCCGATTTGAAATCAGCGTACTCATCCTCACTGGACAATGGAGGATACATTGACTCTGTGAAATGAAAGTCAGAAAAACTAGTTACACTAGTTTCCAATTCAGACGTGAAAATAAAAGCAAATTGCTACACAGCTGGCATTCAATCAAAGAAACCATATGTAATAATAATATTTGTTTTTGTAATCATTCACTGAAAATCTTGAAAGAATAAATGGCATCAACGGAACTAAAAGTGCCTATTTGTTTAACAGGTTATAAATATTGTTGATTCATAGGAAATGTTGCATTACACCAAATTTTTGTATCCTCTCATGAAACAAGGGGTTTGTTATTTGGTTAGTTTCATTATTTAAGTTGCAATGTTAAAATAAAAAGGTTTTAAAATGTTGGCCACTAGAGGGCACTCACATACTACTAGAGGGCCTACTAGAGTACAACCTTGTTCAGAAAGAACATTTGAACACAGGAACCATGGGTCCAATTGTATCTGTAGACCAGATTGCATTACTGGTAATAAAAACAAACATGACACAACAAAGCTGTTGGAATAATTAGTTTAAGGTGACAGGAATTTACAGTAGCCAACATCTAAGTATAGGCCTCAATCGTACAGCTCCATTCCTCTGGCATTTGAGCATCCCTGGTTTGATATCCGGCATTGTGTGCTTTGTAAATACACTCTTGCCCTGACTCCTGAAGTCATATTTACACCGAGCTCATCCTACATACCGTACTGGACCGTGTTAGCACCCATGCCCAGTCAAGTGCCCCCCCCCTTTTCAGGTCACATTCGACAAAGCGCCCACCCCTTCAAAATGCCACTAATTTAAAACTTGGTCCTTGACCATTGCTTAATGAATACTGGTATGAATGTGTAGAACACGGTAACCGTGCGTAAACTACACTTCAACATTTACCTGTTAATAAAAGTAAAATGCGGCTCATGCCATACTCAGTTTACCTATCAAAAATTTTTAGTTACCAGTTTTTGGAGAAAAAACATGCCATTTATTCGCCAAACATCACTTCCTCATTGCATTATCAGAAAGCCTTCAGGAATTTCCGAAGAATTGCATCGGTACAACACAGCATTCTCATTGGTTAATAAAAGACTTGACCCATTATCAGTGGAGATAATGATGAAGATTTTGACTTTGACTGTGTCCCAACAGACTCTAAAATTTTTAATCTCGTAAATTCTGGTGGTACGTAATTAAATATTGTAATAAAATGTACAAATTTGTTGTGACCATTTCTGTTTCTTCATTGTAAAAATCAATGACGACGCAACTAATTTCGTAATTTTATTTTCCCTCAAAGACGTAATATCCCTCTCAATCTGTCACATGGTGAATTAAAATTGTCATTTTCACTCTCTTTTCTGAGGTGGTGCTTGGGTAAGCACCCATCGCTAAAAAATCATGTTTTTCTGAGTTGACACTGGGCACTAACACAGTCCAGTATGGTATATATATATACCACAAAACTACACATACAGACAGACAGACAGACAGACAGACAGACAGACAGACAGACAGACAGACAGACAGACAGACAAACGAACGAACAAGCAGACAGACAGACAGACATATACATTTATCTAAACTACTAAACCTTATTCCCAGTGATATTAAACTACTTAGTATTTACAGTACATATAAAAGCAATTGTTACGGAAATTCAGAATTCTAAAATCACATTTTAGAATTCTAAACTCAGAGAAATGAAGAAGAAGAGAAGATGAAAGGAAAAAGTAATATGGTATATTCAACAGACCTGACGGCACAGAGCTGTCTTCAGAAGCGGACTGAAATGTTGAAAACTTATCCATGATTGGGTCTGGTAGATCTGCTGATCCTAGACTGTCAATTGATGGGGTGGGTGATGCATTCAGCACATCGCGAGGCGGCGGGGATGATGACAATTCTCGCTCGCATGGCGGGATGGTATACTGTGATGAGGGAGCGGGTAAAGGAGGAGGCGGTAAAATGAAAGATGAGGAAGCAGGTGGTGGAGGTGGTTGTGATATTATGGGCTGTATATTGATTGGAGAACCTGAAATTTGGCAGATTATATGAAAAGAAAAAAAGAAAAAAAATCCAGCATCAGGTTCATGACTTTTTAAATTGCAATAAATTGTTTGTGGAACACATTGGGATTTGTCATTCGAATTGTAACTAATTCTAATACAGTCCAAAAAGAGTCCACAGACAAGATTACAAAGATTGAATATTGCTGAGATCGTAAATTTGTTGCATATTTCAACACAGCAAGCACAATTGGCAATACAGCTGGCATGCAAGCCACACAGACTTTGAAAAGTCTGGCATATAATATCAGCCAATATTTTGTTGATTTTACACAGGGTTAAAAAATGTGTGTTTATTTCGGTTTTCTGTTTTTATTAAACAACAAATTTAGAAAGTTCAATTCAACCAAAGCAGAAAAGATAAAGCAATCACTAATGTCACCGAAAAGGCCTCAAATTTGAAATCAATTTCCAGACTTTCTGAAGGAAAGCTGTACTCTCAGCAAGGTATTGGATGATGTGCAGTATTCTCCAAGAATACAAACATCATGATGGTATCTCCACAGTGCTTTGTTTCACAACCACACTGGTTTACAGCCAAACAGGTTTATTTCTGTTTATTAAGTGCATGTTTTTATGAGTATATTAATCATCACAATTTTTATTTGTAAATATTATGCAAATTAGTATGCAAATTGTTACCACCCCAGTGGGAATAATTTGGAAGAACACTGATATTGCACACTGACTGATGTACAAGTACAAAACAAAAAAGCAATCGCATTTTATGAATGTTGTTAAGTAAGTAAACACTCAACTCAATCAAAGCCAATTCATGACTGCTTGAAGGACTCACTCTGCAAGAATGCTTAACTGTTAAGTCATGTTTAGGATGGAGTAAGGCTAAATATGCTTTTACTCTAATGTTGGGTAATCATCTCTGATATCAATGTCATTTTGTCCCAGGTCAAAATGAGTGAGAAAAAAAAAGCTGATTGTTAGTGCAAAACATGACAATGGGGAAGGTGGGATACAAGAGAGAACTAAAATAGACTAAACTAGGATTACAAGGTGAATATCACCACATCAATCATATACTATGGTAATCTATATTGCTAGACAGAGACTGCTAAACTATACAGGTGCATCATGGGATCAGCAGAGATACTAGACAATAATGCATGCAGGTGAGTTGGCATGCCACGATAACACACATGGAAGAAAACGTGCATTGTGTAAACAGGTGAGTGAACATGACATGAGAGCACACAAAACACATACAGAAAGCATTTGATGATAATACGCATGGATAATGATATCTCAAAGACATGTTAACACATCACTGGCTTAAAGTCTCCACAGAGAGCAACCATATATATATATGATGTGCTAACACATTGAGAGATATACTCCATAGATTATCAACAGTATACTGCTCCTATGAATGTCCATGTGTTAACAACTATACATACTTATTGATGTAACTAATAAAAAAATGAAAACTGATATAATAGTAACAGGTCATGTGAGGTCACAGCAGGTCATGTGAGGTCACAGCAGGTCATAGTGAGTCAGCTGAGGGTGCAGCAGGTCATAGTGAGTCAGGCGAGGGCGCAGCAGGTCATAGCGAGTCAGGCGAGGGCACAGCAGGTCATAGCGAGTCAGGTGAGGGTGCAGCAGGTCATAGCGAGTCAGGTGAGAGCGCAACAGGTCATAGCAAATCAATTGAGGGCGCAGCAGGTCATAGCGAGTCAGGTGAGAGCGCAACAGGTCATAGCGAGTCAGGTGAGGGCGCAGCAGGTCATAGCGTGTCAGGTGAGGGAGCAGCAGGTCATAGCAAGTCAGGTGAGGGCACAGCAGGTCATAGCGAGTCAGGTGAGGGCGCAGCAGGTCATAGCGAGTCAGGTGAGGGAGCAGCAGGTCATAGTGAGTCAGGTGAGGGCGCAGCAGGTCATAGTGAGTTAGGAGAGGGCGCAGCAGATCATAGTGAGTCAGGTGAGGGCACAGCAGGTCATAGGGAGTCAGGTGAGGGCGCAGCAGGTCATAGGGAGTCAGGTGAGGGCACAGCAGGTCATAGGGAGTCAGGTGAGGGCGCAGCAGGTCATAGCGAGTCAGGTGAAGGCGCAGCAGGTCATAGGGAGTCAGGTGAGGGCGCAGCAGGTCATAGTGAGTCAGGTGAGGGCACAGCAGGTCATAGGGAGTCAGGTGAGGGCGCAGCAGGTCATAGGGAGTCAGGTCACAAGTCATACTCATGGGGGGGATCATTTACAATAGATTAGATCATGGTGGGTCAGGTTATAGATCAAAGATGGTTAGATCACATTTGGTAATAGCATGTCATGGTGGGTTGGGTAACAGTAGGTCAAAGCA